ATCTTCTGGAATCTTCCGGGTGCCCGGCATCGTGCCAAACAATTGGAACCATGACAAGGGATGTAAACAAACATACATGACTGCACAGTATCTTACAATGTGGGGCCCCCAAGATAGCTAAGTTGGTTTATAACTCCAATAACTATGGTTTATGGTACTTATAACTATAGTTATGGGGGTTCATAAACCAACTTATAACTTGGGGGCCCCACATTGTACGCATTTTCCTGGCCCTAGCCCAGCTCAGGTTTTGGTTTTCGGGTTGGAACACTCACACCAATCACTGCAAGCGCATGTCTACGCGTGTATACTTGCTTAGATAGATAGATAGATATATATATATTTTTTTAATATATATATATATATATATATCTCATGATACATCTTTGAGTTTATGCACTTGTGGATTTAGATAATTAATGTTCAAAGGAAGTTTAGGGGGAGAAACTTCCGTGTTACGGACTTTTAGAATGTCAGGGAAAGAGTTAGTCAAAGAAAGAGTTAGTGAGAGAAAGAGTTAGTTAGAGAAAGAGTTCATCAGGGAAAGAGTTAGTCAAAGAAAGAGTTAGTGAGAGAAAGAGTTAGTGAGAGAAAGAGTTCATCAGGGAAAGAGTTAGTCAAAGAAAGAGTTAGTGAGAGAAAGAGTTATATTAGAAAAGTTAGTTAGAGAAGAGTTCATCAGGGAAAGAGTTAGTCAAAGAAAGAGTTAGTGAGAGAAAGAGTTCATCAGGGAAAGAGTTAGTCAAAGAAAGAGTTAGTGAGAGAAAGAGTTAGTTTAGAGAAAGAGTTCATCAGGGAAAGAGTTATTCAAAGAAAGAGTTAGTGAGAGAAAGAGTTAGGAAAGAGTGAGAAAGAGTTATTTAGAGAAGAGAAAGAAAGTTCATCAGGGAAGAGTTAGTGAGAGAAAGAGTTAGTGAGAGAAGAGTTAGTTAGAGAAGAGTTCTCAGAAAGAGTTAGTGAGAGAAAGAGTTAGTTAGAGAAAGAGTTCATCAGGGAAAGAGTTAGTCAAAGAAAGAGTTAAAGAAAGAGTTAGTGAGAGAAAGAGTTAGAGTTTGAGAAAGAGTTCATCAGGGAAAGAGTTAGTCAAAGAAGAGTTAGTGAGAGAAAAGTTAGTGACGAAAGAAGTTAGTTAGAGAAAGAGTTCATCAGGGACGAGTTAGTGAGTAGAAAGATTAGTTAGAAAGAGTTCATCAGGGAAAGAGTGTAGTCAAAGAAAGAGTTAGTGAGGGAAGAGTTAGTTAGGGAAAGAGTTCATCAGGGATTGTACTTTTTAGATCTGTCAGGGAAAGACTGTCAATGAAAGAGTTAGTGAGGGAAAAGAGTTAGTTAGGACAGAGTTCATTGTAACTTTTAGAATGTCAGTTTAGAAAAGAGTTAGATGCATTAAATGGGATTGCAAGTGGTGCTGGTGGAGGAGTTGCCGATGGAGTTTTGGAGGAAGTCTCGCACGAAATGCGTTTTTGAGAGATAGCAGATGCACGAAACCCTATGTTTTTCCATACAAAGTGTGTCCCCGAACCTCGATGATCTACCTCTGCGGTGCGACGGGTGCGAGACGGTCTCGTGTGTGGTCGGATCATGGTCGGATCATGGTCGGATCATGGTCGGATCGGTCTCGGATCGGTTCCGCATTGTAAATGGGGTTTCAACTGTTTTTCGTGCATGTGTGGTCGACAGAATTCCATTGTGATTTGCAACTGTAGGATCGTTCCCGCATTGTAAATGGGGTTGCAAGTGGTGCTGGTGGATGAGTTGCAGATGGAATTCCATTGTGATTTGCAACTGTAGGATCGTTCTCGCAATGCAAATGGCATTGCAAGTGGTGCTGGTGGAGGAGTTGCCGATGGAATTACATTGTGCTTTGCAACTGTAGGATCGTTCCCGCATTGTAAATGGGATGCAAGTGGTGCTGGTGGATGAGTTGCTGATGGAATTGCATTGTGATTTGCAACTCTAGGATCGTTCCCTCACTGTAAATGGCATTGCAAGTGGTGCTGGTGGAGGAGTTGCCGATGGAGTTTGGAAGGAAGTCTCGCACGAAATGCGTTTTTGAGAGATAGCAGATGCACGAAACCCTATGTTTTTCCATACAAAGTCCGTCCCCGAACCTCGATGATCTACCTTTGCGGTGCGACGGTTGCGAGACGGTCTCGTGTGTGGTCGGATCATGCTCGGATCATGGGCGGATCATGCTCGGATCGGTTCCGCATTGTAAATGGGGTGTCAACAGTTTTTCGTGCATGTGCGGTCGACAGAATTCCATTGTGATTTGCAACTGTAGGATCGTTCCCGCATTGTAAATGGGGTTGCAAGTGGTGCTGGTGGATGAGTTTCTGATGGAATTCCATTGTGATTTGCAACTCTAGGATCGTTCCCTCACTGCAAATGGGATTGCAAGTGGTGCTGGTGGATGAGTTGCCGATAGAATTCCATTGTGATTTGCAAGTCTAGGATCGTTCCCTCCCTGTAAATGGTTGCGTCAAGGTTCCTTCGTGCTGTGGCTGCATTGGTAATACTATTGTCTTTTGCAGCTGGACTTCGTAAATCGTATTGGAGTGGCTGCATGAAGGCTGCCACAGTGATTTGTTGGCAGATTTTCTTCATTTTGGCGCTAGTGATTTTCCTTCTAAAAATTCTTTTAAAAAGTGCTTCAAAATCGTCTTTTTTTCGCTCTGGCGTCGAGATCCGGTTTTGGAGCTACAATTTCCGACGCCGTTGTGCGTAGTTCTATTGTGTTTTGCAACTCAGTCTCTGCAGATCGCATTGTAATGGCTGCGTCAAGGTTGCTGTGTGCTGTGGCTGCATTCGTAATACTATTGTCTTTTGCAGCTGGACTTCGTAAATCGTATTGGAGTGGCTGCATGAAGGCTGCGACAGTGATTTGTCAGCAGATTTTCTCCATTTTGGCGCTAGTAATTTTCCTTTTAAAAATCCTTTTAAAAGTGCTTCAAAATCGTCTTTTTTTCGCTCTGGCGTCGAGATCCGGTTTTGGAGCTGCAATTTCCGACCCAGTTGCGCGTAGTTCTATTGTGTTTTGCAACTCAGTCTCTGCAGATCGCATTGTAATTGCTGCGTCAAGGTTGCTTCTTGCCACGGCTGCATGCGTAATACTATTGTCTTTTGCAGCTGGACTTCGTAAATCGTATTGGAGTGGCTGCATGAAGGCTGCGACATTGATTTGTCAGCAGATTTTCTCCATTTTGGCGCCAGTGAGTTTCTTTTTAAAAATTCTTTTTAAAAATTCTTTTAAAAAGTGCTTCAAAATCGTCTTTTTTTTCGCTCTGGCGTCGAGATCCGGTTTTGGAGCTACAATTTCCGACGCCGTTGTGCGTAGTTCTATTGTGTTTTGCAACTCTGTCTCTGCAGATCGCATTGTAATGGCTGCGTCAAGGTTGCTTGGTGCCGCGGCTGCATGCGCAATACTATTGTCTTTTGCAACTGGACTTCGTAAATCGTATTGGAGTAGGTGCATCAAGGGTTCGACAGTGATTAGTAGTAGTGCTGGGAATTGATTAATGAAAGCTTAATAGATGACATATGAGAAGGGACGAAATGAGAAGAGATGAGCTGGGATAAGGTGAGAAGAGCTCAGATGAGATGAACTGTGGAGTGTGAAGAGTGTAGTGTGAAATGTGGGGCGTGAAGAGTGCAGTGTGAAGTGTGAAGTGTGAAGTTTGGAGTGTGAAGGAAGCAGTGAGAAGTGAGAAGTGTGAAGTGTGGACTGTGAAGTGTGGAGTGTGAAGTTTGGAGTGCAAAGGGTGCAGTGTGAAGTGTGGAGTGTGAAGAGTGCAGTGTGAAGTGTGCAGTGTGAAGGAAGCAGTGGGAAGTGAGAAGTGTGAAGTGTGGAGTGTGAAATTTAAGTTTGGAGTGCGAAGAGTGAGTGTGAAGTGTGAAGTGTGAGGTTTGGAGTGTGAAGGCAGCAGTGAGAAGTGAGAAGTGTGAAGTGTGGACTGTGAAGTGTGGAGTGTGAAGTGCGAAGTGAGAAGTGTGAAGTTTGGAGTGTGAAGGAAGCAGTGAGAAGTGTGAAGTGCGAAGTGAGAAGTGTGAAGCTTGGAGTGTGAAGTTTGGAGTGGGAAGGAAGCAGTGAGAAGTGAGAAGTGTGAAGTGTGGACTGTGAAGTGTGGAGTGTGAAGTGCGAAGTGAGAAGTGTGAAGTTTGGAGTGTGAAGGAAGCAGTGAGAAGTGAGAAGTGTGAAGTGAGAAGTGTGAAGTGTGGACTGTGCAGTGTGGAGTGCGAAGAGCGCAGTGTGAAGTGTGAAGTGTGAGGTTTGGAGTGGGAAGGAAGCAGTGAGAAGTGAGAAGTGTGAAGTGTGGACTGTGAAGTGTGGAGTGTGAAGTGCGAAGTGAGAAGTGTGAAGTTTGGAGTGTGAAGGAAGCAGTGAGAAGTGTGAAGTTTGGAGTGTGAAGGAAGCAGTGAGAAGTGTGAAGTGTGGACTGTGAAGTGTGAAGTGCGAAGTGAGAAGTGTGAAGTGTGAAGTTTGGAGTGTGAAGGCAGCAGTGAGAAGTGAGAAGTGTGAAGTGTGGACTGTGAAGTGTGGAGTGTGAAGTGCGAAGTGAGAAGTGTGAAGTTTGGAGTGTGAAGGAAGCAGTGAGAAGTGTGAAGTGTGAAGTGTGAAGTGCGAAGTGAGAAGTGAGAAGTGTGGACTGTGAAGTGTGAAGTGTGAAGTGTGGACTGTGAAGTGTGAAGTGTGAAGTGTGGACTGTGAAGTGTGAAGTGTGCAGTGTGAAGTGTGAAGTGTGAGGTTTGGAGTGTGAAGGGAGCAGTGAGAAGTGAGAAGTGTGGAGTGTGAAGTGTGGAGTGTGAAGTTTGAAGTTTGGAGTGCGAAGAGTGCAGTGTGCAGTGTGAGGGGTGGAGTGTCGAGGGAAGGACACGGTCGGGACAGGGTGTCTTTGAACTATAGGTCATTTATGTTTGGGAAACTTCCGCCGCCGGCTTGCCCGGGTCTATGTAAGATATGTGATAAACCTAAAATCATAAACCATCCCCCAGTGATCACCATTCTAATGGTTTGTTGTATAATGTTGTATAACCCCCCCATCATGGTAGGTTGGCAGCCAGGGATGCCCACATCCCCCGACCCCGGAGGCCTCCTTTGCCTTGGCCTCCTTGGCCTCCTTGGCCTTCTTGGCCTTCGCGCCGCACATGAACTCGTAGTGGTTTTCGTGGCTACAGAGCTCGCATCTGTGCCCGAAGGCCGGACACAAGCGCTTCCTGGGATCCAAGGGAGGAATGGTTTGGGATGGTCAACCCAATAAATATGGTAAAGCCATATGTGTAATATGATAGTAATATGGTTTAAACCTAATAAATACCTGCGATTGGGGATTGTTTTGGGCAAACAAATGAATGGTTTGTCATGTTGGCTTTACCATATTAACTAGGGGTTGAACTTGGGTCCCCCAGCAATGGTGCCAGTGATATAGCATTCGGAAAAATCAAAGTCGTAGTATTGGCTCCTCAACCAAGCGTTGAGGTCCAAGGTTGGTGGGTAGAGGCAGAATGTTCAGGAAGTTGGTCAGGACCGTATCTCTGCTTCTCAGCATCTTTTTCCCATGTCATCTACAGGTACACACACATACATACATACATACATATACATACATATGTGTGCGTATTGTATTCCCACATATATCTACCTGTCTGTCTGTCCCTAAATATATGATAATACGTATGTATAATTACTATGTATATATATATATATTAATAAATATATAATTAATTATACAAAAAACGTATAATGTATCATCCAAAATTTCAATCGATTATTACTTATATAGCGTACCAGTCAAAACATGCTTTCATGTTCTTCTCCAAAACACTCTTCGAAAAGGTAAGTTTTGCAAGCCCAGGGACCTTCATCTGGAAATTCAACACATCTCTGTCCATTTACAGATGTGACAAATATGAACAACCGATCCACGATGCTTCCATTCACCAGTCGATTTACCAAACATTGTCACAACCACTCGCTGTTTACAAGCAAAACCATGGGAAATCCACAAATGATCACTGCTACCACCATGAGAAATCAAATATCATGCATATAGCATTGGAATATCGAACGACGTCCTCCAATTGTGAATTTGTGACTTTCAAAAATGGCATCAGAAAATCCATGAAATCCATGAAAATCAAGTTTACAACAGTATAATACAGTATCTGATAGTATATGCATATAAACCAGGCATACACATTTGGCGAGGATTTCTCAGCCATGGCAAGCTTCATGTGCCACTTGTCACCACCGCATCGGGTGCAGCCTTTGGAAGTGTCCTGATGCAGTGGGCGACCACTAAAGATAGGGAGACCTCACATGATGGATACATATGGTTTGGTGTAGGTTAACAAGATGGCTCTATTTACGATTAAAATTGAGAGACCTGAAGATATTGTATGGACATATAGTTTGATATAGGTTGACATAGGTTGATATAGATGTAGGTTGATACATTTTTTGGGTTTTGTAGGCCTTAAGTCTTAAACATGTAGGAACATAAGATATGATATATGGAAAGAACTCATGAAAGGTCTATTGTACATTACATATTTCAAGCTAAAATAAACAAATGTCACAATATATGTATATATATAAATACATATATATATATGTATCTGTATATATGCGTACAAAAATCACATGGTGAATAGATGGGGAAATATAGGCAATCTAAATGGGGAGTACTGGATAATACATCTTAATGCATGCTTGATATATGGAAACCCCGTGGTCAATATAGTTAATGTGTGGAAATCGTTCATCCTATCGGCAATAATGAAAGATATAAGCAACATATTTTGGAAATCATGGTTCGGTGGATGTGGCTGTAAAACGTATGATATACGGCAACCGTGAAACGGTCTGGTTTTCAATACCCTGTGGGAATGGTAAAGTTTGTTAAGCTGGGAGGCTGGGAGTGGTTGCTGGTTCGGCTTGCAGCATTAGCACATTGATCCAACAGAAGAATCACGTGTAGAAATCGAATCCCAAAAGAACCATTGACGATACCCTCTGGTAAACTAACAGTTTGCGATGGAAAATCACCACTTTTAATGGGAACATCCACTATTTCTATGGCCATGTTCAATAGCTATGTTAAATTACCAGAGGGTATATATGTTGAAACCACACATAAGCGGATCGAATCTACCACCGCAATGAGGTATTGAGGTAAATATTTATGCATAGACCAACAAAAACACAAACACAAACAGGGGACCAATGAACAGGGAAACACAGGGAACCACCAAACTACCTTCGTACAACAATTCATACTTGGGATTTCGCAGAGAATCCACCCGTAGTATATTCAAGATTATTATGTCATCAATCATGGCATCAGCGAGTCTATCCAAAATTATCCAAGTATATAAGTATATATATATAATATATATATATATAACAAAAAAACATGGCATCAATCAGCCCATCTATTCACCAAGTATCTGTGTCATCTTTCTTCCACCACTTCTCAGTCTTGGTTGTCTTCACTGGGCCCTTGGAGGTGCAGACATTCTGCAAGTGTCCCCTCTTGCCACAGATGGAGCACCTGCCGGAAAAACCACGGAATCCACGGGATTCGGCTCGAGATAGGGATTGATAGGGGTACCCCCACATCATCCTTTTATAGATGCTGGTTGGTGGTTTCAACCTACCATTGGTTGGTAATATACTGTTAATAATGGTTAATATGGTTATGATGATGGTTAATGATGGTTAATAATAAACAATATTCTGGTTGGTGGTTGAGCCTACCCCTCTGAAAAATATGAGTTCGTCAAGGGGAAGGATGACCTCCCATATATGAAATGGAAAATACAAAATGTTTGAAACCACCAACCAGGATGGAATTTTCCTTTATACGGTAAACCATCCATTCTGGGGGTACACATTTATGGAAATCCCCAAATGGATTGATTCCAAGGGATTTCCTTTCCGGGAACAAGATTAACTCTCCTAACTTTCACTTATAGCCTAGGTCGATTAGACCAATTCTCGGGTTCGGCAAAAGATATCGGGAGAGTTCAAACATTCTCATGCCAGATTTCAAAACCAAACTTCGGACACCCAAAACACATGGGATGCTCTGTATAGGAACTTAGCGATACAGCGTTCTTAAGCAGTTCATCTGTCGCTTTCAGGTCTTGAAATGATTGAGCACCATGCGTTTTTTATGGTCATATAATGGATCATATCCCAATCTGAATGACAAAATCAACAAATGACCGACCGTAACTGATAATCATAACATATAAATATAATCATATATATATATAAAGAACCGCTCTTTCAATGCCTAAATTTCCTGTCTGTTGTTGGCTATCCTTACCCATTCAAGTCTACTCTGGTGGACTCCATCTTCCCCACGGGGAGGATCCCGTGACTGCTTAGGAACTCGGCCCGGGTATATGTATAGAATCATGAAGTAGATACAATATGGCATTTCAAAGGTATTCCCATGTTAATAATGTGTTTTCGAAATTTCCACAATCAAAGTACTCCAGGATGACTATATACATACATACATACATACATACATACATACATTACATACATTACATACATTACATACATTACATACATCATACATACATACATACATACATACATACATACATACATACATACATACATACATACATACATACATACATACATACATACATACATACATACATACATACATACATACATACATACATTATACATACATACATTCCATACATACATACATAGACATACATACATTACAGACATTACATACATTACATACATTACATACATTAGACATTACAGACATTACATAGACATTACATACATTACATACATACATACATTACATACATTACATACATTACATACATACATACATACATACATACATACATACATTACATACATTACATACATTACACTACAATACATACATTACATACATTACATACATTACATACATTACATACATTACATACATTACATACATTACATCCCTACATACATACATTATTTACATTACATACATTCATACATTACATACATTACATACATTACATACATTACATACATTACATACATTACATACATTACATACATTACATACATTACATACATTACATACATACCATACATACCATACATACATACATACATACATACATATATACATACATACATACATACATACATACATACATTTATATGTAATTACATGGAACTCAAAGTAGATGGCTCAACTCAAAAACCAAAATACCCATAAGATGGCACCGCGCGCTGAGAAAGAAAACGGCGCTATTTTAGCTGGAACATAGAACGAGTTCCGCCAATTGAAGAAAAAATCGCCCTACTATAAAATGAGAAGGTAGATGGCGCAACTGCCACTCCAGTATATGGACATAAGGGTATTGTTAACTAAGCTTACTACATTTCCGATCATTTTTGCTTGTTTGTACTGTAGATTACACATGTCTGTATTGTAAATATATTATTTACACATATATATATATAATTCCCCTAGATTTTTTATCCTAAAAATGAGTTGCGCCATCTATGTCCCTTAAATCCCATTCAAACGCCAGAAAAAAATCGGTGGGTTAAAACATGAGTTGCGCCATCTATGTCCCTTAAATCGCATTCATTTTTAAAAATTTCATTGCCATACCTTGAAAATGAACCACTGAATGTTTTAAAACTGATTGTGGGCAGAATTTATGGATAGAAATCTCATTTTTCAACATATTTTGACAAATTATTTTAAAAACATGCAGTAAAAATTCATTGCAATACCTTGAAAAATGATCCACTGAATGTTCTAACATTGGTTGTGGGCAGAATTTTGGATAGAAATATTTTTTAACAAATATCAGATTATTCAGCACATATGCACAATTTTAACATTTCAATATGTTGCAAAAGCAGCTTTTGTGGTTTACAAACTATAAACGTGACATTTTTCATTTTGCTCTTTCTTTCTGTTCCCTCCTTTCTTACTTCCCGTTGTGTCTCCCCATTGTGTCTCCCCGTTGTGTCTCCCCGGGGCGGTGATCCCAATGCAACGAGTCGGGGTGAGCGTTTTGCACAAAGGAAAGCAAGCAGCATTTTCACCGGGGCAAAACCACCAGGAAAGACATCAGAGCTATCCCAAGACAGGAGGCAGTTGCGCCATCTATGTCCCTAAAAATGGTGTATTTTTTGCAATCTTCTGGCAATTTGCCACTTTGCTTGGCCCCGGAAAACGGGCCCCACCAAGTCCCCCGAAAAAGAGCTTTTTCCTGAGTTTCCCAAAGGAAACTTGACACTTGGTGGGGTCCGTTTTCTGGGGCGAACCCAAGTGGAAAATTGGCACTGTGGTGGTTTCCCCCCATTTTGTTTCTAAACATCAAGCTGCCTTTTTGGGACATAGATGGCGCAACTCCCAACTCATTCGCCAAAATCAAGCTATCCATCATATCCATCAACCAACCTAACCAAAATATGCCACATCGATCAGAGTTATCCCAAGACAGAAGGCAAAACCACCGGGAAAGACATCAGAGTAGTCCCAGGACAGGAGGCAAAACCACCAGGAAAGACATCAGAGTTGTCCTTTTTGGGACATAGATGGCGCAACTGCCTCCTGTCTTGGGATAACTCTGATGTCTTTCCTGGTGGTTTTGCCTCCTGTCTTGGGACTACTCTGATGTCTTTCCTGGTGGTTTTGCCTTCTGTCTTGGGATAACTCTGATCGATGTGGCATATTTTGGTTAGGTTGGTTGATGGATGTCGGGAGATATGAGGGAGTTGCGCCATCTATGTGGGCATTCCCAGCCTGATTTTGGCGAATGAGTGGGAGTTGCGCCATCTATGTCCCTAAAAATGATGTATTTTTTGCAATCTTCTACGCTCTGGCAATTTGCCACTTTGCTTGGCCCCGGAAAACGGACCCCACCAAGTCCCCCGAAAAAGAGCTTTTTCCTGAGTTTCCCAAAAGGAAACTTGACACTTGGTGGGGTCCGTTTTCTGGGGCGAACCCAAGTGGAAAATTGGCACTGCGCTGGTTTTCCCCCATTTTGTTTCTCAACATCAAGCTGCCTTTTTGGGACATAGATGGCGCAACTCCCACTCATTCGCCAAAATCAGGCTATCCATCAACCAACCTGACCAAAATATGCCACATCGATCAGAGTTATCCCAAGACAGAAGGCAGAACCACCAGGAAAGACATCAGAGTAGTCCCAAGACAGGAGGCAAAACCACCAGGAAAGACATCAGAGTTGTCCTGGGACATAGATGGCGCAACTGCCTCCTGTCTTGGGATAACTCGGATGTCTTTCCTGGTGGTTTTGCCTCCTGTCTTGGGATAACTCTGATCGATGTGGCATATTTTGGTTAGGTTGGTTGATGGATGTCGGGAGATATGAGGGAGTTGCGCCATCTATGTGGGCATTTCAAGCCTGATTTTGGCGAATGGGTGGGAGTTGCGCCATCTATGTCCCTAAAAATGGTGTATTTTTTGCAATCTTCTACGCTCTGGCAATTTGCCACTTTGCTTGGCCCCGGAAAACGGGCCCCACCAAGTCCCCCGAAAAAGAGCTTTTTCCTGAGTTTCCCAAAGGAAACTTGACACTTGGTGGGGTCCGTTTTCCGGGGCGAACCCAAGTGGAAAATTGGCACTGCGCTGGTTTCCCCCCATTTTGTTTCTCAACATCAAGCTGCCTTTTTGGGACATAGATGGCGCAACTCCCAACTCATTCGCCAAAATCAAGCTATCCATCAACCAACCTAACCAAAATATGCCACATCGATCAGAGTTATCCCAAGACAGAAGGCAAAACCACCGGGAAAGACATCAGAGTAGTCCCAAGACAGGAGGCAAAACCACCAGGAAAGACATCAGAGTTGTCCTTTTTGGGACATAGATGGCGCAACTGCCTCCTGTCTTGGGATAACTCTGATGTCTTTCCTGGTGGTTTTGCCTCCTGTCTTGGGATAACTCTGATCGATGTGGCATATTTTGGTTAGGTTGGTTGATGGATGTCCGGAAATATGGAGTTGCGCCATCTATGTGGGCATTCCAGCCTGATTTTGGCGAATGAGTGGGAGTTGCGCCATCTATGTCCCAAAAAGGCAGCTTGATGTTGAGAAAAAAATATGGGGGGAAACCAGCGCAGAAGATTGCAAAAAATATGTCATTTTTAGGGACGTAGATGGCTCAACTGACCTGTTTTAAAGGGAGTTGAGCCATCTATCGCCCATTTTTTTTGACATAGATGGCGCAACTCAAGATTCTGAGCTATCTACTTTGAGGTACGAGTAGGTCAATAATCGCAAAACAATGGCATGATGATGCCAATGAAAAGGAACATGAAGACGCTGCAATGCACCATCTCTATATTACACATACATGCATATACAGAACCAAAACCTTAATTGCATATGTATTACAGACATATTCTTTGCCAATGCCCGTCCATAACTTCTATCTCTTTTTGGGTGGCTATTCTGCAGTTGGAAACCACCAACTCCAGAGCTTCAGCCGAGGGGCCGTTTAGTGATGTTCCAGCAGATCTCTTTGGAGTGGCCGGGGATACCACAAATCTCGGCCGCAGAGGACATGGAATGACTTCATTATCTGGGTATGG